GTATAAAATCAACAGAACTATTACTAAAAAGTATCAAGAACTACAGAACTCGACTGCATGCGATAAGAACTCCATTTTATTTTTGATCTGCTGGGAAATGATATGCCAACTTCACAGGCATAGACTGTCTAGAGTCTTGTGCCCGCGATGCCAGAAATTAGTCCAAGATCTCGATCCCCGACATGTGTAGCCAATCAACTGCGGCTTTTCTGTAAAAGATGCAAGTTGATTGGCTGCGTACACTAAAAGAAATTTTTTAGTACCGTAGCTAATGATGATTTGCTAAAAATATTTTACTGCGTTAGCTATAAATTTCTAAATCACATCAAACGGTTTGCTGTTACACCTAATGCAAAAGGGTCTGTTTTTTATTGCTGCACTCCTGAACTAGTGCACACTGGTGCAATGAGTTGAAATGAGAGGCAATCTATTTGTTTCATTTTAACTTATTGCACTAGTTCAGTAGTGCAGTAATAAAGAACAGGCCTATAGGCACATTAGCGAAATATTAGCTATCACAACTAAATATTAGCTCTCCACATTTGACAATTGAAATTAATAATCGTCGTTCGTTAAATGATTCACGACGAAACTCTTGCTCCAACACTCCGATCGTGCTTTCCGACTGCTATAAACCGCGCGTCGTTTCGACATTTCTCGCTAGGTTGTTCATATTTTCCGCGTTGTCTCGTTGACCGATATTAGGCATCGCCCAATGAGACAATTCCTCTCTCAATATTATTTCGATCTGAATAAGAAACGATTCAAGATCATTCAAACCTGAAGTGTAGTAGTCCGAGCTTCTGCCACGCGCAACAGTGAAGGTACCAGCCACGTAGCCGCGATTAATTTTGTAACATACAAATAAGATCTAAATTAAGACAGCGTGCAAAATTATCAATGATTCCAAAATGTCATTTTTACACGCGTAAAACATTTTAATCGCTTTTAAATTGAATATTAAAACAATTATAATTTTTTAGACAGAACTGTACAAGATTAAGTTTTTATAAAATGACAAATTAATTCTTTTCCTCCAATTATTATTTTTATTTTTCATCGAAATAAAATAATTCGAATAAACGGAAAGAAACGACTAATTTCACGCGAGTAAGCCATAATACTTACCGTAGAATTCACTTCATTCTTTTAATTAATGAAATACACTTTCCAGATCGCTAATTATGCATTATAAACTAGGTCCCGTTTGTCCGTTTAAATAATAGAATAATTTAATATTCCAAAAATCCAAGTCACTAAGATGGCCGATCAACTAAAGACGATTACAAAAACGGAGTAGTCAACGACTACCTATGTAAGGATTGGAAAAGAGATCAGGACTGTGTATTTATTGTAGAGAACTCTGCTTTGAATAAGAGATGTTCAAATTTTTTCTAATGTGTAGTTTATTTTATATGATTCTTGTCTCAAAACTAGGCCGCTTGTGAGCTTTTTCTTTGCCCAATTTTGTTTTGTAGCTTTACTGAACGCGAATGAAGACGCTGTTCGATATTTTCCTGTTTTTTCAGTTCTGGTTTTAAATTAATTAGAAAATATCATTAAGTAGAATACAAATAAGGCAGAAATGGATTTAATACCAACGCGATATCTTTTTGACGAGAAAATTCGGAATGTAATAAAAGTGCGAAGTATTGTTTTATTTTAATAAAGATCGAGATGAGAGATTTATATCGTGATGACGATTCCTTTACACGGTTTATACATAGAATCCAAGTATCTCAGGTAAACGCTAATTTACCAGTAATTACTCTACTTTTAGATAACAAATAAACTTTAAATTTTGCATATGTACAAGTCGCGAATTATAAAACTACTCTCTACCAAGTGAATCTATATTATCATTTTTTACAAAAAGGGTCGTTCGAGCGATGTAACTTAAGATTATGTATAAAAGAAAGATCTCGAAGACGCGTGTATACTTGAAGGACATTGATATATGAAGAAATAAATTATCTATCTCTAAGCGCCTTTCTCCCGTTTATACACATATCGCGAACGATACCTAATACAGCTACAAAACTTATAGCGATACTTTGGACTTTCTTTTCGAAACGATGTTCGCTTCTTTTCACAATTCACTCTTACCGTGTCCGAACCGTCTTTCCCCTTTTTACAAAACATTATTACAAAACTTGCTGCCCGCCATACAAAATCTACGATCGCCGTCCGCTAATGCTAGCCGCGTAAAAACGCTAAGAGTCTACTGGCTACTATAATACAGAAAAACGTACAATTTCCACAGTTGACTAGTTACAAAACACAATATCATGTTCTCGTTTGATATCCGTTCGCGATCCAACATATGGACGAATATCCCCGTCGCGTTAACTTATCTCGTCGTTTATTGTCATTCGATACCTTTTTGCAAGGCACTGATTCATGGCACAATTATTACATCTACTAATATCTATAAGATCTGTATAAGCGATATACAAATCCGCTGTTTGTGTTCAAGGGCGCAGCAAAAGATAGTGTTCTTTCAGTTTTCGCTCGTCGCACGTTCCTTCGCCTTGATCCTAAACCCTAACGTATGTCCAATCCGCGACAAATAATAACGACACAGGCTTTGCTGGTACGCAAATCTTATTGACACACGCTGCCGCTCCATTAACGCACTCTCCTTAATTCTACGCGCTACACACAGGTCAATACTGATTTATTTTATTTGGCGTGTTCGCTTGTTCAGTCGGTTATCCTCCGCGTATGATCTCTCACGCTCAGACTCCTCGTCTCTTTATTTCCTATCATGTCCACTCAACTCGCTCTCGCTGATAGTTTATTACGCTCGCGAGTCGGTTATCTCGTACACGTCGTCTATGCGAGATTTAAGTGGCATTTCTCGCGGCGAGTACACGGCTCACAGCAGATATGGAAATTTCTCTTCGCCTTCCTCTTCCGTCTCGCTGGACTCTTGGCTGGACGGAGGCGTGTCCAACTGAGGCAGGCCGAGATCCAGATACTCCTAACGTCGAAGAAGCGTGTAAAGTCAAGACTGCTACTACAAAAGTAGTCCTGCTTATTTATCAACTCGCAACTCACCTCGTTCGCCGTTATCGTTAATATTCTGTCGAGGTCTTCGACCAGTTCGACGAACGTCGGTCTTTCGTTCGGCTGATAACTCCAACAGTCTCTCATGAGCATGTATCTGTAGGCGAGACATTGAGGAATATATTCTCTCACAAATAAATCGCGTAGACAGAGCGCGTTATGTAGCCAAATGGTGCATAAAGGTCTTACATTTCGATCGAGCAGCAGGGCGGCTTCTCCATTCGATGGCCCGTTCTAAGTAACTGGAATAACTTCTCGACCGACGGTACGGATGGGTAAGGCGTGCCGCCCAGCGTCATGATCTCCCACAACAGGATCCCGTACGACCATCTAGAGGAAAGCACAACGAAAGATGTCACAGATAAACGCGAGAGGAACAAGTGCAACAAGTAATTAAGTGAAATTCTCGGTTCGGGAAAAAGATTATTATTTTTGGATACTCACACGTCGGACTGAGTGGTGTAAACGCGGTGAAACAGAGCCTCTGGGGCCATCCACTTGACCGGCAACCGTCCGTCCGTTGTCTTCCTGTAGTAATCGTGGCAATGAATGTCTCTGGCAAGACCGAAGTCAGCGATCTTGAGCACGTATTCGTCGCTGACGAGGACGTTCCTAGCCGCCAAGTCTCTATGTATACACCTCCTACTGGCCAGATACTCCATCCCACGCGCCACTTGGTACGCGAACGAGACCAGATCTTTTTGCGTGAGGGTCTTCCGTTCCTTCGGCTCTTGTCCGATAGTCGGTTCGTACCCCGAAGTGGGTCTGTGGTCTCGGAGAAAGTCTCGTAGATTGCCGTGAGGTGCGAACTCCACCACGACGTACAGAGGACCGTTCTGAGTACAGGCACCCAGCAAATTGATGATGTTCACGTGCTTGCCAATCATCTTCATCATCTCCATCTCCGAAACTAGATCCATCATCTCGGTATCCGTGTGACCCTCTGTTAATGAGAATACGGATACGTATAAAATATAAGATACAATTTCTTCTATCGTAATTGTATCTTGATTTTTACTTGCTCACCTTTCAACATTTTTACCGCCACGACGCCGGGTATTCCGGGTTTACCGATGTTCGTCTCAGCCCTGACGACCTTGCCGAAGGCTCCTTCGCCCAAGGTGTTCCCAAGCGTGAAATATTCCCTCGGCAGTTCCCAAGCGCTGTCCAACGGTAGCTCGTACTCGGACACGTTGTCGCTGGTGTTGTCCTCGGCGATGACGGTGGACTTTTGCTTCTCGATCTTCACCACCGGCATCAGCAGCTCCTCTTCGATCGCGTTCTGCGCGTTCACCAATTTCTGCTTCTCCACAATCACCTTCTTGGTCCACTGCGTGACGACCGCTGCTCGCGCCGTTTCTATCGCGAGCAGCTTCTTCATCTTCTCGCGTTTCAGTCGATGGAAGATGTATATTACCACGACGACACCCACGGCAAAGAATACGCACAGGATGGCCGCCAGGACGTTTATCAAGATCTGCGGTCTCGCGGCTAGTGGTACTTTCTGCTCGTCCAGCGCTGAATGAATTTCACAAAACTGATGTAGCTTACTCGACGTTTGTAGTTTAATTAATTTAATTTAATTTATTGCAAAGAGGGATACAGTGAAAGAAAAAGTAATACAAAAAGATCGAAAGCAAAAGGCAAGGCACCAACAAGATTGTTGACAGTTCACTTAAAAATACTTTGTTCTCGTGAACAGTACGAAAATGCTTAAGGACTCGAAACAAAATTAATTGCAATATACTCACTTTCGACTACACGTAGATAAGCACTGCTAAACGTTTCCCCTAAAGTGTTCTGGGCGATACAGGTGTACCAGCCTTCGTCCTTTTCAGTAACGTTATACAGCTTCAGCTCCTCCGGATTTTCTGCCTCCATTCCAGCCTATATCGAACGAAAACCACCACTGTAAATCGCATCGAGATCCCCGATCGATCGTGCAGCGATATTTACATAAGTGCGTAAACGCGCATTTTACAATTCGCTTCTTTGATAAACGACGTTAGGCAGACACAGATTAAGCTAGCGATACTCGAAAGATTCGAATTTGAAAGCGAAGCTGAAGAATAAGCAGCGAAAAGAATAGATTGCACATGCAAGCAACGCCCACCTTGACCTCCACCCGTAAGCTCTGATTGGTCTTGTTGACGGTGTCGAGAGAGGTATGAAAACCATGATACCATTCGAGATGACGATGTGCATCGGATAGCACTTGGCAGTTCATACTAACGTTGCTTCCAATAATCACCGTGGTGTTGCGCGGCGGCCTCGTCAGGATCGGTCGATGCGGTACTGTCTCTACAGAGAAAAAGAAACCCAACCACCGTTTAAACTAATATTTATGAATTAACAGTATACGTAGAGAAGACGAAACAAGAAATACATAGAGAATCGGGCTGTCCGTGTTAGCTGAAATAACTTTATGCCTATAAAAACGGAAAAATGTATGAAAATGAGAGCTCGTAATATACAATAGAATAGTAGACGAACGCTCCAGATCTATTTGCTAAAGTGTCAAATAGACAAGTTAATTATTTACATGAAATAATAAATCGTACGATATGTACGTAGCATCCATTGAAGATCATTTAATTCTTCTTCTTACATAGTCAATGTTCTGTTTTGTGATTTCTATGAAATAGATTAGAATAAAATAAAGAGCAAAGAGAAATAGGAATACCCGCAACCGAGAAAGTATTTCCTAGGCGACATGTGCTGGAAAATGAAATGATCAAGTTTGTTAATCACGATTCGGACAGTTTCTTCTTCGCTCAAACCTGTAAAAATGTTGAGAATAGATGGTTAGTCAACTCTACACCATTGAGTTAGCACAGCAACGAGCTATTACGTCGACTACGAAAATTTTCTAAGGGAAACAAATAAAGGTGAACAGAGAATCAGGAGCCAGGACCCTCCACCACCATCGTCGCGATAAATGGCGGCTGTACCTGGAGCAGAGTCCCCTTGGGGATATCCTCTTGATCACCGGGATATTCGGCGATTTTAACCCACTGTATGTACGGTTCGAGATCGGAGAGGATGGGGCACCTGAAGGTCGCGGTACTGTTAACCAGAGCGGTCACGTTCTTCGGGAAGTCCACATTGATGTACGGCTTATGCGGGTAACGCTCTGCGGTTTCGTTAACATCTTAAGTCCGCGCACGAGCAGTCGTGCATTAGCGTAATAACGCGGACGCGGCTCAGAATTGTTGCACGGGCACGAAACGAACTCACGTAGCCGGCGGAGACTCGCATCTACTCACCGATAATGTCGACTATGAAGGTATAGTTGATGCATCCGAGATAATTGCACACGATGCACGTGTAATTGCCGTTGTCCTTGGTAACGAGATCCTCCAGCCTCAGGGTCCACTTGCTTCGGATCACGGTACCGAGATCCCGCTTTGGCTCCTCGTTGTTCTTCAGCCACGTGATGTTCGGCGTGGGATTGCCCACGCTCGGGCACTTCAATCGCATCGTGCTGCCGGCGGGCTTCACTGTCAGCGGGTGCATGTCCTCGCTCTTGTTGAACGAGGGTGGGCTTTCCGGGATCCTGTGGTTGTGCTCGTACTCCGCGTCGTGCTCGCTCCTCTCGTCCAGGTCCGCGTTCAAATTCTCGCTGTCCAGCTGCAACGACCGCGTCTCCGGCAAGTCTGCGGAACAGATTATCGCGTCGTACAACACTCCTGAATATCACGGCTCAATTTGACATGACAGTTAGTGTCACGTTTAATTGAGATTCGCGAGTGGATGAGTTATCGAACAACTCACTTCTGGTCTCGGTCTCGAGATCGTTGCTCCCGTCTTCCGGTCTCAGCGCACTTATCACGCCGCTCTTGTCCTCGTCTTCGTTCTCGAAGCCGTCGTTCTGCAGATTCTCGACGCGCACGGTTACGTTCCTCCACTCGATCGTGTCGTTCGACGTTAATCTACAGCCGTAGACGCCCGTGTCCTCCGTCTCGACGTACTTGAATTTCACAAACTGCTTGGTCACGCGTATCCTGCTGGTCAACTTGCGCAACGCTTCGTCGTCCTTATACCACGTCGTTTCGCCGTTCAAGTTTTGGCAGCGCAGAGCAAGCTTCTCGCCCACGGACACCACAACGTCGGGATTAATTACATCTGCAATTTAAATATTACGCATCTCATTGCTACGTCGTGCGAATGTACCACGTCTCTAAAAATCAATCAGTTTAGAGAGTACGCGTCCAATCCCAGATACCACAGAGGTGAACGTAAGTTCATAGAGAATTCATTTTAAAGAATACCTATGCAGAATTAGGAAAGTAAATATTGAAGAATTCTTGAAGAATCAGCCACAATCAATTCGTTTTGAAATTTTTGTCAGAAATTTATTATGGTGCATGCAACTTCCCCAATCATTCTTATTGTATTCTTCTATTCCCGAAGGATTACAATTCAGAAAGGCAGAAAACTCGAAGAATACTTTGCGAATTCACTGTGCTATCTTGAGATCTGTATCCCTCGGGTGTTGCGCGCAACGCGATGTTAATGATAAGCCGACGAAAACGGCATATTATTTCATCTTTCTTCGTACGCGACTTCCGTGAAGCGAAACTTTGTTCATCGGATCATAGTTTCGCATCGTATCGAAGGGTCCCCTAAAGCCAATTGGTACTTTTACCTTCTGGAGAGAAACAGAGCGACGTCACGCAAAACAAAATTATGAATCGATCGTGCAAGATGAATTAAGTGATTTTAAGTTAATCGCTAATACTTGCTCGTTTTCTGTCGCGTCGTGTCGCTTCGGCTGGTCGACGCGACGATCTATAATAATCGCCGTCGCGAGGATTCAGACGGGGACGTTTTGCGCCTAACGAGAGAGAAGGAGAGGAAGAGCGAAACGAGACGCGGAGAGCTTGGCTCGGGTCCGTCTGGCCTATCCCGCGATATTCGCGCCGGCCTGATCAAGGAAACTCATTTTCCTACGCGGCTCATTCATGAGGCCGACCGGCCGTACCTCGGAGTATCGCCATTTGGAAGACGGCCAGAAGTGAATCGCGACACTGTCCCTTCCGACGTTCCATCTGGAGCCTTTCCATCCCTCCGTCCCCGGAATGCGTCGCGCACTATTTTTAGAGCTATCCTCCTCCCCCCGTGTTGCCGCTCTTCCCCGGTGAATCGCCCTATGATTACGACCACTAATAGCGCTACGAGGCGAGTCTTCATTATCGCCGCGCGAGCTCCGAAAGGGCGATATTGAAAGTTGGATTATCAGTGCAAGAGACGGTCGCGCCGTGATCGATTTACATCGATCGTCGCTCGCCTCGATCGTAACGACGATCAGCGGGGTCCCTCCCCCTTCTTTTTCAGCGGATCTGCTTCCGGAGCTATTCCAGACGCGCCAGGAAGAAAGGCGAGACTTGAATTCGAGCGAGTTCCCGGCGCGGAGGTCTCTCTTTTCGCGAATCTTTAAACATCCTCGCCCATGCGCACAAACGAGTCGTTGTGCCCTGCGAAGAGGCCCTCGGCGGAAATCGATCGAGTTTATATTGTCGCTCGTTTCGCCCCGCGGGCGCTTCGCTTCGCTCTTTTTCGGGAGACGGCGACAGATGCGGGGCACGTGGCATCGGTGGCTGCGATCACAGACTTCTATATACTGCTAGACCGCTACCTTCGAGTTGAAAAGCGAGGCAAGAGTTTCGCCATGTCCTGCTAGGTAAATAAAATAGTATGTCTGACAGTGACACACACCGATGCACACATACTACTTTATTTACCTAACAAGCATGGCGGAACTCTTGCCTCACTTTTCAGCTCGAAGGTATAGCAACCGAGGGGGAAACCGCTGACCAAAGTCTTGTACACCAATGCCCACTTATAATGCCCAGTGGGCGTTACTTTGTCCTATTATCTTATTTTATCTTTATAATGGCCCAGCAAGGCCTAATGCCCAAACTAATACCCAAAAATGCTCCAAAAAATGCCTAGTAATGCCCAGTAATGCCGCAAATCTGTACACCACAATGCCCTCAGCAATTTTCCCCTCGGTAGCAGCATAGTATAACTAGTAGGTCCACTTTGATCTTTGCGGTCCCGATCACGTGGTATTCCGCCATGCACTCGGGCAGGGTCCAGCGATGTGTGTGTATACGTACTCGTCAAAGCCACACTACCACACATACAACTTTTTTCTCATTGGTCTGCCCAGAACAATGTCGGATGCGCAGAAAGGATCGATGCAAAACGAAACGAATGACGGAGTGGACCTACTAGTTATATTATGGTAGCAGTTTAGTAGTATATAAAAGTGGACTTGGCTGCGACGCCGGTGCGTAAAGTAGAGAGACGTGGCTCCCTCGATTTCTCGCACCGAGGCGCAATCCGACGCGCGGTGTCCCCCCGAAAATTAATTCACCCTCGTCGAGACTCTTCGGTCGTCTTCGAAATTGATACTTTCACGCCGTTCGAAAATCCCACGTTGATCCACGCCGACCGACACCTAAGCTAGGGATCGATTCCTCTCGGTACGCGGTACCGGCCATCTGCCTCGAGCCAAACGCCAGGAATAGCCTTAAACGTTTCAAGAGCTTCGCGCCACACTTTCGCCGGTGTTGTTCTCCTCCCTTTCTGCCTCCGGCCTTCCCTCGCCGCGAGCTTTCGGTCGCGGTAACGAGCTTCAGCACGTTTTGGATGTTTTGCACAGAAACTCGCACGGCGGAGAACGAAATGTTACGTCGCGCAGAGGAATTTTTCCAAAGAAAAAATAGAGTACCGAGACGCTCGCAATTCTTCCGACAAATTCCTCGACGGGTCGGCGAGAGTCCCGTTCGAACGCAGCGTCACCTTTGGACGCGCGGTGTCCAGAAATACGTCTGTTTGCGATGTAAATAAAGAGTTTGCGGTGTAAGTGGGGAAAGGAACGGGTTAACTTCGTCGACAAATAAAAAGATCGAGACTTATTGGCTGTACGTTGGACAATATCGGCCAATGCATTTCTAATAACCAACATTGGACCAATATTTAGCCAGGAGTGGAGTAATCTGCACTTTTTGCAAGTAGAACTGCTAATTTATGAAAATGCTTGTGTAATATACTCGTACAAATTGCGGCTTTTTGTGTACAGTGTCACACTAATCGGACTAAAGGCCTGTGTCCACGATGCTTGGAACTTGGAACAAGGCCTTTAATCAGAGAACAGCATGGTATTATTGAAATAAAGTTTAGTTTTAGTTATAGCCTGTAACTTATTCGAGCTGAATAGATTTTTTGTTAGGCTTCTAAATTTAATTTCAATGGTGCCGTGCTGTTCTCACACTTTCCATCGGATAAACCAATTAAATAGTGTTTTCGATGGTTAATTTTTCCGATTCAAGTATGGATACATTCGATGAAAGTTATCCGACGAAAATGCAGTTACCGATAAAATTTGATCGAAAAACCGCTCACATTTTTCATCGGATATACAATTTAGTCGGATATATCCGTTTGTTATTATGTAATTGGATTATCCGATTGTATTTGATCGGACATTTTTCTCAGTGCATATTTAGTCCGATTAGTGGAACACTGTCGGTCTGTGCACAAAAGCCACATAATTTGTATATTACACAAGTGTTTTCAATCAATAGACAGTTCTAGGAGCAAACGGTGCAAATAGTGCAGAATCACTCCAGCACCCCCTTAATCTCGATACCAAATAAACGCCCCCGCTCGAGACCGTCGGCCATTAACGTCGCGCGCGACGGAAACCCCTGGTTTGTCAAGCCGTCAGCGGCCGTTTATTTATCCGTGTCGCGCCTGAAACGCACGCATTTTTACCCCGACGCATCGCACTGTCTAACTGACGTACACGGCGCTTTCCCTCGTCGCACGGTCGCACGGATAGTTGGTAGCGCGGGCCGCGTTAGAAAACGATCTCTATCCCCGCGCTCGTTCTTCAACGTCCCTGTGTCTTCGCGAAGAGCGCCATATAATCTTTCAATAACACAACCCGATCTTTTAACGCGGGCTTTCTTAGGCTCCCACCTCCCCGCTTCTGTCTCAGGGTAGCTCTCGGTGTTGCGTCTCGCTGTTGCAGCACGTGCCGCTCGTAAATCGCTATCAAAGTTTCCGCGCAAACGGAGGTGCGGCTACCGGTTTCTCCGAGCGCCGGACGGCTTCATAAATAATCGCTGCTTCCTCGCGTGCGCGACCAGGGATATAATCACTCCGATACGGATAAGACTTTGTCACCGATACCACGGGCGTCTCGTAATTCAATCGTCGAACATGAGCCGCGTTTATCAGATGTAAAAGAAAGCGTTACGCCTCATTTCCCCGTGTCCAGAACGATTCAACAGGATAATCGGACAGGTAAACGATAAATCAGTCTCGGTCTGCAAGCTGATTTATCAGCACGAGTCCGATTATCCCTTGAATCGCGGTAAATGAGGTAGCGCGACGGACAAGTCCTTGGACTTTCAGTGTCGTCCGACCTTTCGCGTCTTTATCCGCGAACGAGAAATTCAGCGAGCACTAATACCTAATCTACAACGTTCTCTTTGCGTCTAGAAACATTCTATTTCGTAGCCAATGGCAGGTATTCATATAGTCGGAGCTTAGATTTAAGACCGTCTTGAGTTTATCTTTAAATACTGTATGGAACATTTCATTGGCTACAAAGTATCTAAAGATAATCTCAAGACGATCGGAAACATAAGATCAGATTATGAATACCAGCCAATAAATACGTTTAAAAAATTGTGCCAGTTGATATATTGTACTTGTACAATCGTACGTTGTTGACAAATTTTTTAAGCGTTTGCTTATATAAGACAGAACGTTTCTAGACGCAAAGAGCGTTGTAGATTAGGCTTTAAGTCTAATTTATAATATGTTGTTTGCGTCTAGAAACGTTCTGTCAGAAAAATTGCGCGAGTTGAATCGTACATTGTACAGTCGTATTTGTCCACAAATTTTTTAAGCGTTTCGATTTGCTTATATAAAGACCTGCGTCCACGATGCTGGAACTTGGACACAGGCCTTTAAGACAGAACGTTTCTAGACGCAAAGAGCACATTGTAGATTATGCGTAAATGCTGGCGGTACGATTGCCACGTTCAGAGAAACAAGACGAGGTCGGCCAGTAAGATGGATTATCGTCGTCGCTTCCGACGAGTCGTGCCAAAAATATTTTCGCACGACTGGCCCGGCCGATTTGTGCGAACGTACAAATTAATCCGCGCCAGATTAGAAACTTAAAGGGACCGCTGCATCTCTATATTATCTTGAGCATTCGGGGCTTCCCACTTGCACGGCTATCGGATCTCTCGCTCGAAATAGCCAGAAGTAAAAGACGCTAATCGTAAGAATACCACGCGCGAGCGACATCGCAATTTATGTTCTTTTAATTGCTCGTTGTTTCTCTGCTTCCACGAGGGGGGGAAACGAAACAGTCACCAAGCGAACGCCCCCTCGCACCGCTGATATCATCTTCGCGTTAAAAAAAGGAGCAAAGAATGCAGAAAATATCAAGAGAATTGTTAACCGGGTGAGAACTCCATAGCTTTTCCAAGAGTCGGCAAGATAAATATTTGACTCGAGATTTTTCGGCAGATTTTTTCAGCCGGCAAACGAGTCCGCGCGGAAACGACTCGGCGCGAATAAACAAACGATTCGCAAAATCAAACAGTGTCGAAGATTCGGCAGAAGCTGGGCGTGCCGGATTATATGGACCGTTCGCGATTAATCGGCAATTTAAAGCTGCTCGAGTTCTCTCGGCGAGAGAGAAATCGCGGCTGCCGGTCCGAGCCTACGTCGTTTCGCCTAGCGAACGAAACCAGCCTGTTCCCCAAGAAAAGTGGTGGCGGCCGCGGAGGTAAAGAAAAATCGACAGGCGAGAAAGATCTCTCGACCTCGGAGAAGTGCCCCGCGGTGTCGGATTACGATCGTCCCACGCGTACGGCTTTTAGCGTCTTCATTCGTCGAGCGGAGAGAAAGAGAGATCTCTTTCATGCCGCCGCGACGCAGCGGTCGATCTTGCGCGAGACGATGATTCGACAAAAAGGAGAAACTCTAGACACGATAATTCTTGTGCGAGGCGGCGCGAGATCTCTCCGTACGGAAACGCTAAAACGCCGACCCTTTTTTCTTCATTACACAAGACGCTTTTTCATACAACGTTCACCTATGACGACGCGTTCGTTCCTTCGCGGAAGGTCGTCCGGCGCGCTCCGCGTTTCGTGATTGAAACGTGCTCCTTAATGGACGGGCAATGCTCCTTTCCGTCGTCGACGAGTTAACGATATTTTACGGCACGGCCGATCCAATTACCCCGTTCCATTCCGCGGCGCGTGTGTTACGGCTGAAATCGTCGGTTTTATTTCGATCTCTCCCCTCTGTCCTCCGTAGGAGGGCGAAACGAGCGTTCGTCGGGGTCTTCTCTCGACAAAAGACTCGATATATGATAATTCGAGATAGGAAAAAAAAAAGAACGACCCGTGACGAACCAAGCGAGATGAGTCGCGCGGGATCGGGTAGAGTCCTGTTGTACATTTTAACGCATCGTCCGTTCGCGTTAAGATATCGCGTCAACAAAGTGCCGGGCCTCCGACTAGGGCTAGAGAACCTGCCAGCGGGACCGACTCGACGATCTAATTAAGATTCCGCCTCGTCCTGGAAGCCGTCGTTTCATAATGGAACGCGAACGCGCGGTAAAAAGGACGAGGGGGATTTACGGGGGCCGGTCGAGACAGAGAGCGGATAGAAACGTCGGGACTCTTGACGGGTGTCTCGGCCTGAAACGTTTCGCCAGGTACAACACGTATCTACCCGCATAATTACACCTCGAAACGGATCATCCGACTCTCGGGACACCGGGAGGGAGCGACGCTTAAGCGCGCTCGTTATCTTAACGAACGCGCCGAGCTCGTCCCGCGCTCCGCTCGAGATTGAAGCCTAATCTACTATCTCTCCGCGTCTGGAAACATTCTATTTTGTAGCCGACAATACGTTTAAAAAATTTGCGCAAGTGGATCAATCGTACATTGTCGACAAAGTTCTTAAGCGCTTCGAATCGTTCATACAAAATATAATGATTCGCATTGTAGATTAGGCTTGAATCGTCGCGCCGGCGAGGCGGACGGGAGAGAATCGCGCGGCTAATTTCCGCGTCGGTTTTCCGGATTGCGGCTCCGTCGAGGAGACGAGGCGCTTTTACCGATCTGCGCGCGGATGCGGGCACGGGTCCAGCGGGAAAACGGAGTGTGCGACGCTCGATCAACTGGCAAGGGCAACCGAGATCTCTTGGCGAAATCTCCTTCTCGGTCCCCCCCCCCTCCCCCCGCCCTTTAAATCGCGCTCCGCTACCATCTCTTTCATTGTCCAATTGGTAATATCAGCCGCTATTACGCTGTTGAATACATTTAATAGACAAAAGATTGGCAGTGGCTCTCATCGCTCCCGTCGCTCTCGCGGCGGCCGGGTCCCTCCCGGCTGAATTTAGTCCGAGAAAATGGCGTTTCGTATCCGCCATCGCCACCGGGAGAGTATCGTTGCTGGCGATTCGGTAATAGCGGCTCCGCAGCCCGGCTCGGCATTCAATGACCGGGCAATTGGACAATTGAGCTCAATCATAATAGCGCTCATACGCATATCGTGCCACACACAGACGACGACGTGTCGTTTTCGCCCGTTCGGCCGCCGCGCCGATATTTACTTACCGAAATAATCGGCCCGTCCACCGCGGCGGAATATGCGTGCCGTGGCGCGTCGAAAATAATGCGGGGGACCTGGGGGAACCCGTTGACCCGGGGGTGACTTCGCGACCCCGCGACGTGTGGACGGTATTACGAATCTCCCCCCCCGGTCGGCCGGCGCGATGTTTACGGCCGTAGCCGCGCGGCGAAACGGGACCCGGTTTACGTGTCGCGGTGACGTCCAACGCGCACGTGGCCCCCGTCGCCGAAATTCCAACGAAACTCTCTACTTTCGAGCACGCACCAACTACGGAATATAGTGGAAATCACGCCAGCGCGGTACAAAGCCGTGGTCTGTTCGCCAGATGTGGTGCCGGTCGAAATTCTCGACCGCGCCTTCCTCCGTTTGACCGAGGAGCAACATTACGACTCTGTCGATGCTCGTCGGGAGGGAAATTGACGTTTCCCATTGTTTGGAACAACAAACGAATGCCCACACGTCGTTCGCGCCTATACCGCTCTCGCCGTGCGCATCGCGCGACGTTGCGTAACGGTTTCGGGATTGGCGGAACGCGGAGCAGCCGCGATGACGAGTCGAAAATACATTTTGACGTTTGTCTCAAACGGTGCGGGACTTGGACGCAATTAGACGGAATCGGTGACAATTTCCGTGGCCTATCGCGAGGATAAATGATCGGCGCTGCGTCTACGCACCACCGATAATTATGTCCACGTGGGATATAATTATCGTCGCGCCGACGCTAATTAATTACCACGCGTGTTGCTCCGCCGGCGCTGTTTGCGGTTCACAATTTTGGAGACCGAGCGAGCGATCGTGCGAGTCGCACTTCCCTTGAACGTCGATGACTGCAACAGAGTGCCAGGCGGTTGCGCGATTTAAATAGCGGCGATATGTATGCACGCGACGTTTCCCCGACAAAGTTTTCCCGAGAATGCAAGCGCCGATAATTAAATCGTAGCTACGGAGCCTAGGAGCGACGTGACTGGAAATAAACCAGGATCGAGCGCTGCGTTTGAAGGCCTGACGGAGCTGACGTTTCTCGGTACCGATTTCACAAAATTCCACCGCGAATTCTTCTCCGTATTATTAATGCGGATGGTAACGTCGCGCCAATTTGCCTCAACACTCGTTGAACAGACGTAGAAACTAAATTCTTTGGTTCAACTTCCGGGGTTGATAGACGAATCGCTGAACAATCGGTTTTCGAGATGGAGATATTTTCCTCTAGACATCTCTCTCGGTACTTCTACTGTTCGTTTTTCGTTCGTTTCGCTTTCGCTTCTTCGCTTTCACTAGCTTCCTCGTCGCATTTGAGCTTTTTCCTCCGCGCTATTTTTCACGTTGCACCAATGTGCCTCAACACTCTTTGAACAGACGTAGAAGCTAAATTCTTTGGCTCAACTTGTTCAGCGATTCGTCTATCAACCTAACCGGGGTTGATAGACGAATCGCTGAACAATCAGTTTTCGAGTGGGAGATATTTTTCTCTAGGTATCTCGGTACTTTCACTGTTCGTTTTTCGTCTGTACTTCCGCTTTCGCTCCTTCGCTTTCACTAGCTTCCTCGGTCGCATTTGAGCTTTTTCCTCCGCGCTATTTTTCACGTCGCGCCAATGTGTCTCAACGCTCTTTGAACAGGCGTAAAAACTCAATTCTTTGGCTCAACTTCCGGGGTTGATAGACGAATCGCTGAACAATCGGTTTTCGAGTTGGAGATATTTTCCTCTAGACAGCTCGGTACTTCCACCGTTCGTTTTTCGTTCGTACTTCCGCTTTCACTAGCCTCCTCGTTGCACTTGAGCTTTTTCCCCCGCGCTATTTTTCACGTCACGCGATTCGCACTGGCCACTTGTTCCTTTTTCAATACGAAAATATCACGTTACGGACTTTACGAATCCTCGGCTCGCTACGACCGCGCGCTATGTGACTCGCATTTACTCTTTTAACTTGATTTGCGATTTTACTGGGGATTGAATTATCTGCGAAAGAGTTTACTGCGGTAAATGAAATTAATTAGGATAATAACGAAGTATTGCGTTACGAGTAATAATTTCGGCTTCCCACTGCGATTACATCATTTTTAAACAATTACGTTTACGGGATTTCCATCGTGCAGCCGAGCTTTCGTTGTCCTTTGCAAACGTTCCTAGAAAACGTTGTTATGCCGCTTCCGTGAATTAAACGCTCTTGAAATATAACTCGGCTAAAGCATTAATAAATGGCACGTTCCACATATAAATCTCTGTATTGCTTATATGTATGTACAACTCTGTCTTTCGCGTTCGCTTCGAGTTCGAATACGTTCCAAAAGATTTCCATCTATTATTAAACGAATAATTGCGCAAGATTTTTCAAGAAATGTACGCAAGAGTTGCGTTACGTTTTCTTACCTACTAGCCGAACGTTCCGCCCTTGCGCAAGTCCGACGCCCAGGATAGCGAGGATCCCGAAGATTATGCAGATCCTCGTCGCCATTTCGACTCGCTCGACACCGGGCATACGTAGTTAGTGTAATCGCGGCATGGGTGACTTCCTGAAACAGAAACCAGGGAAGGTTTATTTATCTTTCCCTCTATATGCCGGGATAAAATAGCGCGTGGACGGAAAATGCCTGTCAACGACTTTTTCGGGAGTAACGAGAGCGGTTACAGGCCTCGATCACAACCACCGGGCTAGAAAATGATGGAAGAGGAAAAGAGAGGTGATTATGTAAATGGTAAAAGTCGAAAATGAAATCGTAAGTCTCTCTCTCTCTCTCTCTTTTTCAAAATAAACTCGTGATTATGTCGATATTAATAATAAGGAGAGCAAAAGGTTCATTTTCTTCCACGTTCCCTCCTTTTCTTCGGCCGCCCGACCTCGTCGTATTTTTTCTCTATTTCGCGAAGAAGAGTCTCCCGCCTCTTGGCCGACGGCCAAACCTCGAAAACGCGATGCACTCGCCGAGGACACGCTGTCCAACAGTTTTAGACACACGACTACGCTGAAGCACAGCTCTGAGAGCAGCGGAGTCAATGCACAAGCTTTACGCACGTGCTTCCCGTCCGGGAACGACGGCGTTCGCCGCTTTTAACGCGACTCGAAATCATCGTTGTCGTAAATCCGCACCGAATACGCGCGGTATTCTACGATGTTCGCGAGCCCGATGGCGCAAAAAGACGAAATTATGAAAACTTTCAGTCGATAAAACACATACTTACATGGAAAACTGATCTTTACACTTTATCCATAGGTAGTGTAGTGCGAAAAAAAGAATTGTGTCGCAAGAGGCGATTTCTCGATGGAACTGATCACTAGCCACGTGGTTGTGACTGTCGCGAGATTCCGATGGTTCATGATCAAGTTCTTTTTCGAAAATTTGACCCTCAAAACGACACTCGACGCATTTTGACAATAATAGTCAGCTGTTTTGCCAACACGCAGTGATCTCGCCAACAAATATTAACCGTCGTTTTTCTTTGTACTCTGTGTTTATGACGTAAGGTATTAGACTTTCTAAAAGCGTCGAAACGAAGAAAATCAAACGGTCCATCCTGACGATAAATTCTATTATTATTAATTTAATGAATATGATCAACGCCGATGTTCCGAAGATTCAATAGCTGGTTTTTATGTATTTAACGCCTAATCACATAGCCACATCAGAGTATCTTAAGACATTACTTAAGACGGTCTTGAAATAAGAACCGAGGGGGAAACCGCTGAGAGCATTGTGGTGTACAGATCTGCGGCATTACTGGACATTACTAGGCATTTTTGGCACTAATTTGGCATTAATTTGGGAGTGGTGGGGCATTAGAAAGATAAAATAAGATAATAAGATAAAGTAATGCCCACTGGGTTTACTCCTCGATAAGAAACGGACTATGAATGTTGTTTTTTCAAACAATCTCTTATCTAGTAAGAATATTCTTAAAGTCGCCAGCAGTAATTTAATAAATTAATAACATCGGTTTGTCGACCGTGTCTGGCAATTAAAATTCTTATTGCGAAAAATATTACCCCAGCCAGGATTCGAACCTCCCTACAATCCGTGACGGGCGTCTTCTCTTATCTCTTATCAATCTCTTATCAATCGACTCTTTCACACGTCAATCCCAGTAAACAGACAGGCCTGGACATTTCTATCATGTACTCTATAATTATAAAAACGTCCTGGCATTTCTGCTTGTCTATGTACATTCAATCTCGAGTAGGTATCCTGCAAGCGTATCTTGTAACGGTAATTTTAATCGCTGTTTTCATGGGACACCCTACGTATCCGCTTGTTTTTCCTCGCTACCATTAACGACTGTTGAAAAGGCCAAGGGTATAAGTCGCCAAGCGGATTGTTTTCTTTGAAACGTCCCAATGATCACGTGGACGCATTTTCCTACCTAGGGAAATCCTACTTGGTCCGAGAAAGAATACACGGCCGTAAGCCGAGAATCATAAAGAATGACAAATCCCGCGAGCGACGATTAATATCCGACCTTCCCTCAGGGGGTCGAAGAACTTCACGAGTTCTTGATGGCGGGACTTTCCTCGCCGGGTCGACCGCGTCACCTGTTGCATCGCTGAAAAAGAGAAATACGCGCACCCTCGTTCCCGTGGAGGTTCGTCGGTGTCCCGTCTCGTCTCGTCTCGTCTCTCTCGAAGGTTCGGTCGTGAGAAGATTTTCTCGCAGCATCCAAGGCAGGCCAGAAAAACGCCCGTAACGAGAGAAGACACCCCGAGATGAACGAAACTGAAGAGAAACTATATTCTTCCGAGGCAATATTACAAAACTAATTTGACAGTTCGCGAAAGAAAGGCGAAAATCTGGCGACCAGATTGCCGCAGCGAAAAGGATACGATTTTTCAGGCAGAAAATACAAACTTATAATAAATAATTATCATCGCGGCGAACTTGCCCATTTATTTTGCTAATTTATATGCACGCGTCTTTTTCCCGCGGAAAGCGCATTTATTTCAGTTTGTTCGTATTTCGTGTGCTCGGTCGAAAATAAATGACGTGGGATACCGTTGTTATTAGAGGAATTTCATAATTCAGTGCTAATAATTCGCCGATTTTAAGTACGCGTGGGTCGCGGAATTTCGAGCGAAACGCCAGTCGGTTGGCGTAAAGCAAGTCTAAAGGGTCGCGCGCATTAATTTATAAATAAACCGATCGCGCGTAGGACGAAGTGCGCGCGGTTCTCGGTAATGCATACACGTAATTAAAGCGAGTATCCCCCGAATTCGGTACGCTAGATCTATGCCCGTTTTATGTCACCGTACGTTAGCGTATAACGCGCCGGATCGGTGGAACGTTCGCCTAATAATCAAATTGCACGTACTGAAAAAAATTTCCATCGGATAAACTAATTAAATAGCGTTTCCGAGCGTTAATTTTTCCGAGTAACTTTTCCGATTAAATTACGTACGTACCCGATGAAATTTATCCGAGGGGGAAACCGCTGACCAAAATCTTGTACACCAATGCCCAGTGGGCATTACTTTATCCTATTATCTCATTTTATCTTATTTACCTTGTTTTATCTGATTTTATCTTTAAAATGCCCCAAAAATGTCTAGTAATGCCTAATAATGCCCACACCCTCAGAAAGAATTTCTGTTACTGAACCAAAAAATATTCTTGACGCATTTATATTTCTCTCTCGCAACCTCATTTAGTATAAAAATAAGAGACAGTATCAAAATAAAATCAATAATTCTTATTCTCCTCTATCGAATTAAAAAAAGGTTGACTTACTACATTGAGACAAGAGTTATATAAATGTAAGTTTATATATTCTTGCGTTTAGAAGAAATTTTCCCTCCATCTTACAACGCACCAAGTTGGCACCACGATTAATTTTTCCGATTACGTTTACCGATAAAATTACGGATATACATCCGATGAAATTTATCCGATGAAATGCAGTTACCGATGAAATTTGATCGAAAAACCGCTCATATTTTTCATCGGGTATACAATTTAATCGGATATATCCGTTTGTTGTTATGTAATTGGATTAGCCGATTATATTTCGCAGAACGCAACGCGCCAGATATTCCGTATCGCTTTAGTCTCGCTATTAGCTATTTTACGACCGGTTAACTCAACTTACGGTTAACGAAGATCTTGGTCGCGGATTTCGATCGAGGAATGTCACCGGGGGACACGGCGCGATATTTACGAACGCTTTCATAGCGCAAATTTGACGTTACGTAGAGTTTAGTGCTCGATAAAAGGGAGGAAAGTGCAAACGTCCGATATTCCTTCGTTTAATTAGCGCGTTCGCGCTCGAATGTCTCGCTATAAATCCGCGCTTTACCTCGCCAATTTTACCTCAATCGAGGATCAAAGCGCTATTTCTACGCGCGCAACACGTCGAATTAGAAGCAGCGGCTTCGCGTTAGAACAAAAATATGCACGATATTTTATAAACGGAGGAGCATCTGATTAATCCGAAAAATAACACTTCCCGTTTGCTTTATTATCACGCGATGTTTATAGCCTCCTTCTAGGAAGAATTTAAAGGCTGCGCGAGAGCAATCGTGAGCTTCGACTTGAACATCTATCGCATTTTTCTTCTGCATCCCTCGGGAATTCGCGATCGACGCCAAGATTTTTTGAAACGATCGGTTTACGAGTGGCCTCGTAAAGCTACCGTAATGAGCCATCGTCAAACGCTTACCTTTCCGGTCGCGTCAAATTAGATCAAATAATGATCATGAAACTCCTCAGCGTATCCTGTATAAATCGACATTGCAATTCCCGGAGACCGGCGTTTTACGACGTTTTAGTGACATTTCGCGGGAGATTTACGTCGACTTCCGACTTTGCGCACAAGGAAATATTTCGAGTTTCGTTACCGCGAACGTCGTGCAAGTCATTGACCGGCTGCGGAAAGCACGGGATTACTCTCGAAAAGTCAATCAGTGTACTGAGAAAAATGTACGATTAAGTATAATCGGATAATTCAATTACATAATAACAAACGGATATATCCGATTAAATTGTATATCCGATGAAAAATATGATCGGTTTTTCAATAAAATTTCCTCGGTAACGGCATTTCATCGGATGTATCCATAATTTAATCGGAAAACGTAATCGGAAAAATTAACTATCGGAAACACTATTTAATTGGTTAATCCGATGAAAATTTTTCTCAGTGCACGCATCGACGTCATTTTAAGATATTTTGCCTAATCCCTCCAGTCGTTCTCGATCACGAAAGTAACGTCTCTAAATATATTTAGGCACGATCGACAAAGGTTTACTCAAGCCAAATCTATACAACTGTAGGGACGCTTAAAAATGGATCGCAAATCAGTTTATAAAAGTCGCCATAAAACAACGTGATCATCACGTCCTGGTAAACATTTGTTCTTTTCGAAACGGCACGCGAACGCAGGCTGTCGTAAATCGACCCGGGAACGGCCGAATGGAATATATCTTATTGATTTCCTTCCTTTTCTCTCTCGCCTTCTGTTTCTACTACGATACTTCATAAAGAATAATAGGCTTCGGCCGAGAGCTAGAGTCTAGAACAAGCGCGTCTG